GCATTAGCATTTACTCCACCGGCCTCGCTCCGTTCCCACGGCTCTCGGCCCCGCCCTCTCGTCACATACCCCCATCGCCCCTCGCAGGCCAGGGGGTACTCACGAGACTGCGCTCTACACCCCCCTCCCCCCTCTGGGGTAGCCGATCACGGCGGCCGCGGCGTACCTGGGGGTAAGGACAGACAGACGAGGCGAGAGAGAGGGGTAATACGAGCCTGTCTAAATGCTGAGGGAAAAACACCAGTGTAAAGGAATGTGTTAATGATGTCAGTGAGTGCAGGTATAACTGCAGGAGAAATGGCTTGAAGGAGATGAGATAGAATAGGATCAAGCAGACTAGTAGGATGAATCGAAAGGATGACTGTAACACCCGTAAGTCGGGAAGAAGGAGGCGGGAACCGGCGAACGCTCAAAGAAAACTTTAATAAAATAAACAAACACAAAATGGCGCGACAGCCCCTTGCGGACGAATGCCGCGCACAAACAGAACCAAAACTCAAAATAAAGTCCAGGCCTGGTCCTCTCTCGTCCAACACTGTCGTCCCTCCTCCTTTTATCCTTCCGGAGCTCCTCCGTGGGACTCGAGACCGGTGAGTGGCGCAGGTGTCGTGCATTAGCATTTACTCCACCGGCCTCGCTCCGTTCCCACGGCTCTCGGCCCCGCCCCTCTCGTCACATATACATATTTGTCTTCAGTAACTTTCTTCTTGTACTTTCTTCCTTCCAGACATAAAGCCAACAGTGGTAGCTGTAAACAAGCAGATGTGTCAGCATTGGCAGCTTTTTTGCTCGAGCAGGACTTAAGCTCAGGGACTTTCCTCCCTGTATGGCCGTCAGGGACCTCAGAGCTCACATGCGCACACACACTCAACACTTCCCCTGTGAGGCTGAGAGTGTGGATAGCCCCGCCACCATGCACAGAGGCTCCACTGTTCTACAGAGATCTCCTCATGCTCAGCCTGGCATTAGCCAATAAGATGGATGATCACAGGTCTGCTGTGGGTCGAGGTGTGTGTGGACAGCACAGGCCAGGCCTGTCAACACTTCAAAGGGAAGCTGTTATTTCACCCTGATCCAAAACCAGCCCTCACTATACCCAAACTCTGACCTCATCCGTGATAGGTGACACCACAGGACTGGTCTGAAGACAGTGTAAAAGAGCAACCTTTATCAAGTATTGCTGTTGACAGTCTCAAGCCCCCAGGTCAAATAGTGCAATGGTCTCATGAGCTGAGAGATGGAGTCAGTACTCTCGGAGAGATAAGAGCACAGCGGCCTGTCATTGAGGTCTCGTCAAGTGATCTATGAAACATCTCATTGAGTGGTTGGTGATGATGAAAAGACGTCCAGTTTTACAAAAACAATCATGTTTTCTGCACTTCCTGTTTCCTCCATGAGTGAATATGATTCTCAGAATTAACAGCTCACGCATGGCACCACACATGACTAATCATCTGACTTCAATGAGACATGACCTGAAACTGACAAGGCATCAAATGCTAAGAAAAACTTCATCGTGCTTCCCCAGCTGCCTGCTGTCATTGTGTCGAGCGTGTGCAGAGCGTCTACAGGGTAGTTGGAGAAAGAGAAGTTTATTTTGGGATCTGCAGGGTAATGCTGTGTCATTAAAGCCACTGTAGTTAGTAGCGGATTGGGGCCCTCATTGGCCCTGTATTGGGTGGATCTGAAGAGATCTGTATGCTCCATGCTCCTCGCATGGATGTCGAAGCTTTGATGTGCACAGTGTGGTTGGTGAGGTCTACTCTAGCCGTTCTTTCTAAACCCCAAACTCTTTCTTTACCTTAGTGTCTTATTTCTGTCTTCATATGTTTTTGAGTGCAGGGGGCCTAAATTAAAGGACTCTGGATGGGCAGAGCCAGAGGGACATAGCTTTTCCCAAGTTCTGCTTTCTCTTCTCCTTTTCTCAGTGTCCCACACATCCTACCACAAACTTCTGCTTGTTGTTCTTATTTAACTCTGTGTGTGTGTGTGTGTGTGTGTGTGTGTGTGTGTGTGTGTGTGTGTGTGTGTGTGTGTGTGTGTGTGTGTGTGTGTGTGTGTGTGTGTGTGTGTGTGTGTGTGTGTGTGTGTGTGTGTGTGTGTGTGTGTGTGTGTGTGTGTGTGTGTGTGTGTGTGTGTGTGTGTGTGTGTGTGTGTGTGTGTGTGTGTGTGTGTGTGTGTGTGTGTGTGGTTTTCAACAGTGCATCAGTCACAAGGAAAGGAAAACAGATGTTTTTAGTTTCTGTCAAACATCTGTCGTCATGGAATGTTTACCATTGGATTGTTCAGTTTCTTGTATTTTTGCTAAAAGTTTGACCCCTATACCCTTGTTCATCTTTCCTTGGCCTGCTGTCAAAACATTTGCATTAATCCAACCTCAGCCTCACATTACCATGCACATTCCCTTACCTAATGCATGGCTCAACTCAGCATTTTCACTTTTCTGCCTAAAGTCAACTGGAGAGCGTTATATTTCTATCATCAATCATGTATCAAGCAGTCAAACATAATGGCAGCTTATACATAATTATCATAATTATCCTTCTGTTGTTCCCTTGTGTTATTGCTAAATCTTGGTCAATGACGTGACACTTCTTTTTTGTCTGGATCTATTTCAGACCTCTCCTATTTCAGATTTTGAGGAATAATTAAAAAAAAATGTCTAGGTGGTGCAACTGTGCAGAGAAAAATATCTTAAAATAATATTTCATTATTTCTTCCTCAATGTTTTGTTAAATATTATATTTGAAAAACACTTTTCATCACCAAAATCAGTGTGTCAGTACTCTCGGAGAGATAAGAGCACAGCGGCCTGTCATTGAGGTCTCGTCAAGTGATCTATGAAACATCTCATTGAGTGGTTGGTGATGATGAAAAGACGTCCAGTTTTACAAAAACAATCATGTTTTCTGCACTTCCTGTTTCCTCCATGAGTGAATATGATTCTCAGAATTAACAGCTCACGCATGGCACCACACATGACTAATCATCTGACTTCAATGAGACATGACCTGAAACTGACAAGGCATCAAATGCTAAGAAAAACTTCATCGTGCTTCCCCAGCTGCCTGCTGTCATTGTGTCGAGCGTGTGCAGAGCGTCTACAGGGTAGTTGGAGAAAGAGAAGTTTATTTTGGGATCTGCAGGGTAATGCTGTGTCATTAAAGCCACTGTAGTTAGTAGCGGATTGGGGCCCTCATTGGCCCTGTATTGGGTGGATCTGAAGAGATCTGTATGCTCCATGCTCCTCGCATGGATGTCGAAGCTTTGATGTGCACAGTGTGGTTGGTGAGGTCTACTCTAGCCGTTCTTTCTAAACCCCAAACTCTTTCTTTACCTTAGTGTCTTATTTCTGTCTTCATATGTTTTTGAGTGCAGGGGGCCTAAATTAAAGGACTCTGGATGGGCAGAGCCAGAGGGACATAGCTTTTCCCAAGTTCTGCTTTCTCTTCTCCTTTTCTCAGTGTCCCACACATCCTACCACAAACTTCTGCTTGTTGTTCTTATTTAACTCTGTGTGTGTGTGTGTGTGTGTGTGTGTGTGTGTGTGTGTGTGTGTGTGTGTGTGGTTTTCAACAGTGCATCAGTCACAAGGAAAGGAAAACAGATGTTTTTAGTTTCTGTCAAACATCTGTCGTCATGGAATGTTTACCATTGGATTGTTCAGTTTCTTGTATTTTTGCTAAAAGTTTGACCCCTATACCCTTGTTCATCTTTCCTTGGCCTGCTGTCAAAACATTTGCATTAATCCAACCTCAGCCTCACATTACCATGCACATTCCCTTACCTAATGCATGGCTCAACTCAGCATTTTCACTTTTCTGCCTAAAGTCAACTGGAGAGCGTTATATTTCTATCATCAATCATGTATCAAGCAGTCAAACATAATGGCAGCTTATACATAATTATCATAATTATCCTTCTGTTGTTCCCTTGTGTTATTGCTAAATCTTGGTCAATGACGTGACACTTCTTTTTTGTCTGGATCTATTTCAGACCTCTCCTATTTCAGATTTTGAGGAATAATTAAAAAAAAATGTCTAGGTGGTGCAACTGTGCAGAGAAAAATATCTTAAAATAATATTTCATTATTTCTTCCTCAATGTTTTGTTAAATATTATATTTGAAAAACACTTTTCATCACCAAAATCAGTGTGGTGTAACCAACATGCAGGAAGCCATTTTGTTATGTAAATCATAAAATAATGACAATACTTTATTTATTTATTTTTAAGGCATATTTTGTTAATGTCAAATGGAGTAACCACTCTAAAAATGTCTTAATATACATCAAAAATGTGATTCTTGCCAATGCAAATTTAGTTTTTACTAAAATATTTTACTAAAATATAAAATAAACTTAAAAAATAATAGTTAACTTGTGTGCTCTCAAATGTGCTCACGGGGAATGTAGTTCAGTACTAGTATTATTATTTATTTATTTTTACATGATGGCTGTTTGAAATTACACATATTATCTATAGAGAGAGAGAGAGAGAGAGAGAGAGATTTTTTTTATGCATAAAACCAAAACGAATACAAAGATTGCTTTTCTAAGAACTGGGCACATATGATTTAAACTGGACTTTTAAATGATTTTATCATTTTGGACATTATTATTGGTCAATGACCCATTGTTAGCAGCATACATCGTCCACTTGAAGAAACTCTCCAAACCAGCCTGTAGTTTCGCACAGCCACGAGCGTTTGACGAGCCCGTGTGGCTGTGGGCGCTTGTGTTTCTCTCGCTCGCCTTTTTATAACGTAACTGCGGGACTAGTGGCTGGTCTTTAATCAGAGACTGGAGAGGCGGGCCGAGGTGCTGACTGTATGTAATTAGCTGCGCCCGCTTTTCTAAGAACTGGGCACATATGATTTAAACTGGACTTTTAAATGATTTTATCATTTTGGACATTATTATTGGTCAATGACCCATTGTTAGCAGCATACATCGTCCACTTGAAGAAACTCTCCAAACCAGCCTGTAGTTTCGCACAGCCACGAGCGTTTGACGAGCCCGTGTGGCTGTGGGCGCTTGTGTTTCTCTCGCTCGCCTTTTTATAACGTAACTGCGGGACTAGTGGCTGGTCTTTAATCAGAGACTGGAGAGGCGGGCCGAGGTGCTGACTGTAATGCGATAGCTGCGCCCGTCCTTAATGCTATTACATCCACATGCTGCTGCCGCGCAAGACTCAGCGCAAGACGCGCAGTGCCAAAGAGACAGCGCGCGGAGTATCTCTATCACAAGACTCTGCACAGAAGACCTAATCCGAACTGCCCTTTTCTGACAGTTTTCCGCCGTGGCCAGTGTTTCCCATTCGAGAGCGTTTGGTGGTGGATTCTGTGGGGACGAGACCGGGAAAACGCTTCATGTCAGTTGGATTTGAAGGCGAGAGAAAGCGCCGCTCACCTCACTCACTCACTCACTGCTATAGCTCGAGGAAATCAAGCCAAAATATGTTTTCGGTCTGAAAGAGAAAGTTGTTTAGTTTTATTATGCCGTTTTATTTCGTTGTCGTTGCTTTTGCTTAGGATATAACTGAGATGTTAAACAGCCAAGTCTGGGTTGAATTTACGCATCCAGCATTTTGAAGCACATTGAGAAAGCAGGCGGAAGAAATTGTTATCAGACTCAAGACACAAGTGGATACATCATCAGTGGATAAGAACATTTTCAAAGAACATCACAAGAACTTCAGCATTTCATTTGCACGCACTGGGTGAACATCACCCACAAAAAAATGGATTTATTCACAAAGCTCTGTGGATCTTTACTTGTCTTGTGTGCGGCATTAGTTTATGGAGAGGAGGGTAAGTTTTTATTGTTTTGCCATTTGTTTTTATCTGAATCAGTATAGGTTTCCATTTTACGCGTGTGCTATTATGTGATATTGTAGGCTACAAGGCACTGCAACCACATTATTGATATATTTCAGTTTCGATGCCATTTTGGGTATTTGTATTGAATTCTGCTTTGGTTTGTTACCGTACCTTACAACTGACAGACAAAACGGACGATATTCAATACTTATCTAAAAAAAAAAATCGAAAAGCGGGGGAAAGAGGGTAAAAACAGAAGATTAGAAAACAAAATCAAAACTACAGCTAAGATGATGAGCCTCTCAGAAGGTTTTAGTGTGATGTGTAAAAGCTCACCTCGTCTCGTTGGCAGTCTCCTGGCCGCTGGAGGTGACGCGCGCTCGGCATGAGCTCCGACAAACGCCGCGCTTCACACTGGACTCCACTGCACGTTTTCACAACACTATTTTGTGTTTGTTTATTTAATTAGCTGTGTAATACAGTTCATTGTTTTTTTTAAGATTCAGGGTATTTTCCTCACAAACGCACATATAAACTCCGAATACATTACGCAGCAGATTCTCTTCATGCCACGAACGGGATCCTAAATTAGGCCGCCTATCGCTTAACCCTTAAACACGTCATAGAAGTATTTTTGACCTACAAAGTCGTAACCCATCATTTACGGTGTTTTTCCAGTCATAGTGTTCTCGTGTCATGGTTACTTTAGTCTTGACGACTGTATTTGTGCAGCCGCGGGCACATAAAGCACCTCCAGCGACTCTCATGGAGAATATCAGCGGAAATAGTAAATACAGAACAGAATGTATAGGCTATATATAATCAATGTATGTTTGCACCTATTTATGTGAATACACGATTAGATTTGGTATTTTTCATATTTTAATAGCCTTTATGACATTTTTACACTCTTCGCTGGTGTTTCTCGATTTGAAAGACAGAGTTGCATTCATACTATCTTTAGCGAGTTATTAACCTATCTGACTGATAAAACTCACTTCAACCACTGATACATTGAAATATCTTTAAGGTAAACCTTTAAAAAGTCCTGTATAGGTAACATATTTTCGCAAATCAGGGAAAAAAAAATCCAGAATGACAATATCAACCTCGAAATTTGGGCTTTATGAATGAATAAACATACGTGTAAAAGATAACTTTGCTTTCACAGAGCAGACGTAATATCTTGCTTGTATCTATTTCGGCTGAAAACTAATGCCAAATGGTTTGAAGGGGGTTTTTAAAGGGGATTTTTGCTGTCGTAGTTTACACTTTTGCGTCTAATATCACGCGATCATGTCTCAAATATTTATATATTCCTCATGGTTGTTTTTTTTGTAACTTTTTGCATGTTATACTGTACTGTTAATATAACAATATGCAATTGCAAGCAGCCTCACATAATAGACACTTTTTCTTTAGTATTACTAAGTATTATGCAAATACATAGTAACACGAACACTACAATATACATTGAGCCATTTTTCTCTCAGACCAAATGAGATAACCTACTTAGAGGATTAGTTCACTCAAAAATAAATATTGTGTCATCATTTACTCACTCTCACATTGTTTCAAACGGCCCTCTGTGGAACACAAAAGGATATGTTAGGTGTGAACGGTAGGGACTGACAGTCTCAGTCACCATTCACTTCTGTTGCATCTTTATTCCATAGAATGAAAGTGAATGGAGACTGCTAAAGTGTCCTTTTGTGTTTTGTGAAGAAAGTCATTAGGGTGAATACATTAAGACAGAAGTGTCATTTTTTGTGTGAACTATTCCTTTTAAGTTTTTGTTAGGTCTCTTTTAATATTTTTCCTTCAGTAAAGTTCTTTTGGACTAGCATTGGCTATACTTTCCAACCAAATGTCGACAGCAGTGCTGCCAGACCCAGCAGATCTGTGTTGGGATCTGCACCTGATCCAAGAGAGAGCTCTCCACAGGGGTCCTTCTAAAAGCCCAGCTATCTTTCCAACACAACAACAGTGCCTTAATTAGTCCTGTTAAGCTTCAGATGGTCTGAATCAGTTGGATGAATGGTTTTGAGAGAGGGAAGTGAGCTGGACTCAGCAGCCGATGAAGCACACGCTAAACGATAGGGGGGCTCAAGCCTCTTTCTAGTGCGGACAGAATGTAAGACAGAACGGCGGAGCTCTAAGTGTCTCATCACTGCGATTAAATATCAGCTATTCATCAGCAGACGTTCACGCGGTGAAAATGAGAAACCTTATTGACTTCTGCCAGTCAGCTGCTGATATTTTCCAGCTCCTCTCCCGTGATGGCGGTTATGACTGCCAAGCAGATGAGCCATGTGTGGTGGTAGCATGCGGATGCGTGTGAGTCTACATGTTTGAGCCTGAAAGACAGCATGTCCGGATGCTCTTCCATATTTTCCCTGTGTACCTACTGGTACGAGCGCAAAGAGCATGTTGTTGGCAAAGCCTTGGCCACCTGCGCCTGGAGGCAACGCTGCGATTGATTACATGCTTATGCAGCTGTGCAGATACACATGACCACCTGCAGATCCCCAACACGCTCCAGAGAAACTGCAGCTACTGGAGCAAACTCCACAGGTAGCCGCTTTGAAATCGCAGTTTAGCACGCATCAGTATCCTGACTGAGACCGCTGCGTGTCGTGCCAAATTTCCATGGGAATATGAGCGTATGGAGTGAAAAGGATCTCTTTAAAGTTTCATCGGATCCCTGCTAAGCCCATTTGTCATGTTCGTTTTCTGCTGTTTGGTGGCCCCAAGCTTATTTCATTTTCCATGCGCAAATCTTTGGTTTTATAGGCGATTGGTTCTGAGTTTCACTTTTGAGTTGTTCATCCAGCTCTTAATGTGAGTCACCTGCTTTTAGTCTGTTAGAGCTTCACTTTCAATGTGTGTGTGTGCAGCGTTAAGTTTCGTCCATCAGCACCTCCTCTGAGCCCTTTATACTGTTGATGCTGATGAAAGGCAGATGTGAACTTCTGGCAACCTCTTTGTGTGTGTTTAAGGTACTCTGTGTACTACAATCCACTGTTCTAACACTGAGTTTGATCAGTGGCGCAAAAACGGGGTATGCAGTATATGCAGTGCATAGGGGCTCCACACATAGGGGGGGCGCCATTTTGCCAAAATCATTCTGTGAAAATCTTCAATAATCAAAAGCTTAGTTATTAAAAATAATTAATGCAACATTTTTATTTTAACGGTTTTTAGCATTTTAATGGGTTCAAAAATGTATTTATTAAAAACGTATTAAGACACGAAACGGCCGTATCTCTTTGCGACCACAACAAACGGGAGACTTTTCAGACTTCAGCTTTCCCTCAGCGTGCGAGTCAAACGATCGCGGAAAAGGTACATGTGCCAAATGAGCTTCAGTAGAACAACAGGGAACTGCGGTCTAATGAGATATTGTTATATGACAGCAAAAAACTTTCCTGTCCAGTCAGCCGTTTTACTGTGCTCACGGCGCACGTTCTTCAACTGTACGCGAAAATAAGGCACACGCTCACTTCATAAATAAACCGCACTAGAAACTGCGAGCATACATCGTCAGATAAATCACGAAATTACCAAAATGGCGATTAAAACTGCAAAACCGTGCATGCATGCATGTGAATTACATTTAAGAACGTCTCTCAAATGCATGCAGCCTACTGAAATATTTCACTTTTTCCCTATGGTATTAAAAAAGGGGGAAGGGGGTTGAAACCTTTGTCACTTTTTTCACTCCTGATGAGTTTGTACCCTTCCATGCACAAGCTAGTAATGGGCTTTTGGTCATTGACTTGCAGAAAGTTTTCTGCGCAAGTTAGCGTTAGAGCCTACTAGAATACAGGGGGGCGCCGACACTGATCATGCATACCACTCGGCAACAGTGGTGGAAAGAGTACCGAAAATTTGTACTTAAGTACAAGTACTGTTAAAGATGATAGGCTATGCATTTTATTTATTTATAATTTAATGCACAAGTAGGCCAAATGTGAGCACAGTGCAGTTAAATGTACTAGAAAATATGCGCAAATTTTTTACTAACTTTTCATTTTTTAAGTACGAAAATGAAAAGAAAATGAAACCATGTTTAAATGCATGTAAAAAACTTCTTTTACATTCTTACATTATTTTCCTTTGTACAGAGTTGATTTAGGTATGACAAAAGTGCTGCAATTAAAATATTAATTCATACCAAAGATCTATGTGGATAATAGCTACTTTGAACAAAACCCACTTTTATCTTATTAACAAAGTATGTGAATTAGTGGTTATGATAGAGGAATTTGATTGTAAACAAGGATACAAACTAGCCACTTTTCACTGAAAATTGCAGTTGTAAATTCAAAATAGGCCATCTGTGTAATTCAAGTAGTTTCAATGAGTTGAAAATTACAAATGTAGGCGAGAGTAGGCGGCTGCAGTGAGGGGAGGAGTGAAATAAGCGCAGTCAAGACGGACAGTTCTGGCCTCTCGAAGTGAACAGATACCTACGAGATGCTGATTAACATGATATAATTTCAGTTCTGTTGCCTTTATATAAAAATAAATAAGATGAACAAGACACTCTTATAATAGTGATTTTATAATGTCTAAATATAAATCCATTAGCAAAACATGTGAAAATAAGTATATTACAGAGTGGAAATGGTAAAGGAGACAATAAATGATCCTCTGCTGCCGTTTAGTGGTCATAGTGGGAATCATGACATTAAATGTGCAAAAATATTAATAATTTTGAGGCAAATTATATATATTAGGGAAGTATTTCTGGGAAAACTTTTTAAAAAGAAAACACACACACACGCATCTCTTTGCAGGGCCGTGGCAGTCTGGGCGAATATCTGCTCTATCAGCAGCATCTACTGAATGGAACAAAAAGTGTTGAACTTGAAAAATGTTTTTGTATGAGTGCACTTGCTAAATGAAGGTATAAAATGGATCAAACAAAAAACCTTGTTTATTAACGAGCACCAATTTTATTGCATAACGCGCTGACAGAGATGCAG